TTTCAAAAGTACGCGAAACTTCTGATGTTCTTTGATTTGTATCGGCTCGGGCTGGCACCGATTTTGAAAATATTTGATTAGGTATCTATAGGAAATGAAAACTACCAATCAGTTATTTTTTACTTTTTAGTGCTGTTTTGAAGCCTTATTTTTTTAAGTTTTATTTTTCCCTTTTTAGTGTAGACATAATATGTAGTAGTAGCAAAGTAAGAAGAAAGTATTTTAACATAAATGCATGTACAAAAAAAATAATGTCTGTCCTATTCATTGTTGAGGAGTTCCCTCACTGGAAGTCAACCCTGGGTCACGCATAAAATTTTCCCCTTTTAAAAGTCGATAACCGTCATTCAAGCCAGATTTTTTACAGATAACCCTATATCATCGTATTAACAATTAAATAGCGCTCTTTTTAATATAATATTCATTTATTAAACAAATATAGGTATAGGTGACAATAACTGTTATTAGGTATCGATTTACCTGTTTATACCTGCCAACCAAGTAGTAACGCCAGGAAAAAAATAGACAACCCAACGTTTATAATATATTCTATGGGCTTCATACTTTCGGTTGGTATTAAATTTATTTGTTAAACTCATGAGTGCAATATTTAATAAAAAATCATTTTTGAATTTTTAATTTATCATAGTCTGGTCAGAAATTTTTTAGACAACCCACTTGAGATATATTTTCTATTCATTAAACAGATGGGTGAATGGAGGTCGTTTCTAATGCGGATCCTCTACTATACGAATTTTTGACGTTTCATGACTGGTAGTAAATTAATGCAATTGTTACAAGCAATTCTCCGGAAGTTAATTACATGCGCGAGGACGGCTACGGCGCCGCGCCCGCGCCCGCGCTCGCCTCGCGCACAGCACGTACGTCATAAATTAAAATTAACAATTGAATCACGAAAAAAAATATTAAAAAAAATAAATTAATGAGAAACGCCTAGAAAGACTTATTAATTTTACTGAAATTTTCTTTAAAACTGATAGTTTCAACAAAATTTGTTGACAATAAATGTTTCAAAACCTCATACATGCTTTTTCATGTATAAAATAAAATTATTCCTTGCTTTACTCCCTTAAGGTTTAATCAAGTTACGATTCGACAAACACCCCAAGAGAAATATCTTGGCCTTACGTTAGATTCCAAGTTAACTTCACATATATCAAGTACATCCAGGTTCGGGGGTCATGCGACTCCCAGTAACAAATACGTCGCGACTCGCGATAGAGTCTTGGGTAATATTTTGTGCATCTTGCACGTCACTGGCGCTGATTAAAACTAATTTTCCTTATTCTTTAACAAAATTATAGAACTTTACTTTTGACAGAGAACATAGAAAATGTTGTATTGTATTGTATTCAGCCCTTTATAACGTCCCACTGCTTGTCATGAGCCTTACTTCGATACGATCGTATGGGAATCAGGGCCTCAGGCCGTAGACCATCGCGCCGGCCAAGTGCGTGTTGGCGGACTTCACATGTCTTTCGAAAACTTACTAGGTTTTCTCTGTCTGAGACCCGCACTTGGCTATATGGCCTGATCGGATGATCCCTCTCGTATTGAAGGGAGGCCCGTGCCCAGCAGTGGGACGTTAAAAAGGGCTGAATACAGTATCGCATAAATATTAATGTCAATATTTGTCAATATTTATACGATGGTAACATTACTCAAAAACAAATCTATACAGATAAATTAAATTGAAGTGTCTGTTTGAAATGTCAAAATAACAGCTTTTTACTAAATGCATGGATATTGGACATATACACGATACATATACCAAAACAACATTTTTTACAATTTTTGTCTGTCAGTCCGTCTGTCTGTTTGTTCCGGCTAATCTCTGAAATGGCAAGGCCGATTTTGACGGGATTTCACTGGCAGATAGCTGATATAATAAGGAGTAACTTAGGCTACTTTTATTTTGGAAAAAAATAGGGTCCCCATGAAAAAAATTAAAACCAATGAAAAATTTAATAAGATCCGATTCAAATAGGGAAGTTATATACATACCCTAGGGACGAACCCAAGCGAAGCGAAGGTGAGTCGCTAGTAAAATATAAATGAGTCCAATTGCCGTATAGTACCTATATACGAATATATTATGCATATTATGACATAATGTATTTGTATTAAAGCAGTAAGTAGATACTCTAATCTCTACTGTACAAAGGTTCTGATACAATTATCTCAAAAACTAAACACACAATATTATCGGATACATTATTTCCATAACTCGAAATATCTACGCAAAGAACGACACTACCAAATACAAACAATTGGGAATTTGAATTTCATTTACATAGTTTTTAATAAATAACCACACGTTACAATATTAGTATTTGCCACCTTTTGTTCGTACCTAATTACGTACTAATGGGTATTATGGGTGTCTAGTTTCTTTAACGTACATTTTCGAAGAAATAGTAGAAGACACCTAGATATTTTTGCTAATGTTATATTATAAAAACGAATACTTTATTTTATGTAACTCAAAGATAATGCTCCGGTAGCCGAAACTTTGTAGCACGCGGTGCTTTCTCTGGTGATAAGTCCCGCGGCGCTGGTAATCTGCAGGGCGGCGCTTCCGCAAGCCTCGCGCTACGCCAGGCGGTAGACACTAGACGGCCAGTAGTCCCGCGACGCTCGCATTCACCGCACTTGCCGTCTCGCCCGCGTAGCAACACGCCGTCGCCCGCCATGCCACACAACGGTCAGTATAACGCCCGCGACTCGCGCTTTACACCATACGACCGACCTACACTCCTCTGCGGGAATACATCGACTGTAAAGCAAACTTGCTTGCCACCGAGCTTTTTATTTTTAGTGTGCGGAGCTTAGAAAAGTTCACAATATACGCGTATTAAAACAATTTATGTTGCGCGTAAAATTGTACGGCGGAATTTCGGTGTTGTGATAATTGAATTACGAAATGTTAGCAGTTTAATTATTTATATTACTGATTGAATATATTAATGGATACAACATACAATTAAATACACACGACATAATACGTGATTTTGCCTTTAGCATGTTTTTATTTTTATATAAGTACAACTAAATAGTTGAGTTAAATTATCGTTTGTCAGTCTTTTAGTCCAGACTAAATAGGGTAGAGAGTGCGAGTGCAATCCACTCCCGGAGTGTTAATGTGGCCTGAGCGATATAAAAGATAAATATTATATAAGATACTAAAGTATCTAATATAAAATTGTAATATATTTTATTTATTTAAATTATAAAAGGTATCTAAGGCTCTAACATATTATAATGTTGTATACAGACGCAGGCCACGAGGACATCCTTAGGAAATACTATTTTACTCAGTTTTATGAGCAGGATAAATATAATCTGTTAACTTTTTTTTATTTGTTAATTTGAGGAATAATTTGACTTTAGCACGTGTTTACTTTTGGTGTTGTCCTAAACTCGTTAGCTAATGCTTGCGGTCGATGCTCTATCGATGCCTATACCTACCTGCTATAAATGATAATTACTATTCATAGCAGCAAAAGCGACAAATCACTAAGAAAAATATTTAAGCTGAATTATTACATTCCAAGAGTAGTAATGTGGCGCTCGCACTGTGCAGCGCCCGCGCTCGCCGGACGCCGGACAACATCGGATTAACAATCAAATAATGTAAGCTATTGTGTAAAAATAAATAAAAAAAAACACGCATATTCCCTATACCTAATAGGGATATTAGGTATATGCACACCTTCCTTGTTTACTGTTCTTTTTATTAGTGAAAACTGTATAAAATCTGCCGTGTGATTTGGAAGAAATCATCGGAGAAACATACAGAGACAGACAGCGACTTTGTTTTGTACTGCGAGTAGATGTACCTATCCTATAGATATAATACCTACATAGATGAGCGACTTACGCTCGAAGTAAATTTGTTACTTATAATTCTGCTAATAATGGTTTTTGGTGTAATAAATAATTGAAATTTTTGTATAAACTCGGCCGATCACTTATTGTGTTTTGGGTTCTATGTTCGATACACAATACGTAAAAATCATTGTTTCCTTAAAATATTTCATGTAGATTATATGTATTTTATTATAAATTAAGTTTTAATATTATAAAGTAAGTAGGTATATTAATTTGTGTATGGTTGGTTTCAGATTTGGATAGCGAGAGAGGTGTCATGGCGTGGCTCCGACGCTGGTGGCGCCCGCTTGTGGCCGAGGTGCTGGCGACCGCGCTGCTGATGCTGCTGGGCATAGCCGCGCTGTTGCCATTGCCGGACGGCACGAACCCACCCCTGACGCACCCCGCACTCGCGTTCGGCTTGGTGGTGCTCGCCAATGTGGAGATATTCGGGCCCACGTCCGGCGCGCACATGAACCCCGCCATCACGCTAGCCGCTCTGCTCTACGGCAAGATCCCGGTGCTGGTGGCCGCGGCGTATGCTATTGCGCAGTTCTTCGGCGCCACCATCGGCTTCGGCGCGCTTATGTTGCTCTCGCCTAAAAGTTTCGAGGATGTGGCGGCGTCCGTAGGCGGCACACGCGCAGGCAGCGTGAGCCCGATGGCGGCCGCCGGCACGGAGGCGCTGCTCACGGGCGTGCTCGTGCTGGCCGTGTGCGCCGCGTGGAGCGCACATGAGCGCGTCGGACCCGACCCCACCGTCTCCATCAAGCTCGGCCTTACGCTCGCCGGTCTCATCTACGCCGGAGTGAGTCCTATCGTTTATATATTACACAAAAACAACTAACCACGTCCGGCTCAATAATGAACAAATGATACACATATTTTAATTTGCTTATAGATACAACATTATGTATTAGCAAAAAGCACAGTGTGTCAGGAACTCAAGATCTATCTTCAAGTAGGCTGGTGGGAGCGAGATCTACAAACATATTTGAATTACTTCATTAAATGATTAAATTTTATTATACGTCGTTACTTTATGAAATAATTTTAACGGAATGTTAACGTTAAAGAGTGTTGTTCCTCTATGTATTTACTCTGATTTAAGTGAAGTTTCTTTTTGTCACTAGATGGCGCACTTTTTCATTCTATAAAAATCGATGTTAATACAATTAATAATTATATATTTAAGTATTCTTGATTTTACTAAATAGATACGAAATATCGATTTCAGGGAGTGATGACGGGCGCTAGTCTCAACCCGGCGCGTAGCTTCGCGCCAGCGCTATTGCAGACCTTCGCATCTGATCACTGGGTTAGTGTTTATTTATATCGTGATGTTTAACCGCAAACATTTTTATAATGAAACTAGCGGCTCACCCTCGCTTCGCTCGGGTTCGCCTCTAGAAAAATACTAATAGAAATCCATTAGTTCCCACGGGAACTATTCATTTTTCCGGGATGAAAAGTAACCCGTTGTTTGACCGGCAATATAAGGTATCAGAATGTTAAATTTTACTAAACTAAGTGCATAAGTTATTGTGTACTAAGCTGTATAAGATATTAAAGTTTTTTAACTATCCCACGGGAACTCTTTAATTTTCTTCTTACGGGATGTAAGAAGATAACTGACGCGGTTTTTAGCATTTTTTTTTCTATGTACAGAAATTTGACCTCTACAGTTTTATTATACTTATAGACAGAATAAATAACGTATAATAAAACAGTAATAAATAATAATGAAAATAGTTATAGCGAGTGTACCTTAGGAGATAGAAATATACTATTGAGAACTTTTCTATCTACCTTCTTAAGACTTAAAATTTTCTTGTACAATATTTTGATCTATCTCTTATGGTTGAGCCAGCGTTAGCCATATAAATTTCTAAGGACAATTCGATAGAACCAGTTATTGTGTTTTCCCGTGAAAATGAATAATTTGCCTGTCGTATAAGGTATCCTACATGTAGGATAATATATATAATTTTGTAGTACTAAGTTTGATAACTTTGATAGTGACCTATAGAAAATTGAGTTAAAATCAGTTCAGTACTTTTTGTGTGAAAAGCGCACATCGATTTGACTAAATTAGTTATATTATAAGTATAGATAAGAATAGATATTGCTTAGGAGATATACATATACTATTCAAAACTTTCCTGTAGGACTTTTCAAGACCTACAATTTTTTAGTAGGTATATTATTTTGATGTATGTATGTCTTAAGGTTTAGCCAGCGGAAGGTTTCTAAGGAGGTCTCGATAACACCAGTTATTGTACCTTCCCGTGAGAAAGAAAGATTTTCTTGAAGTAAAAGGTATCCTAAATGTTGACTTGAGTAATAAGTTATCACTTCACCAAATTTCGTTGAAATCGGTTCGTTACTTTTCGCGTGAAACGCGCATACAAAAACAGACAAACATACATACAGGCAAACAGACAAACAGACATACAGGCAAACAGACATTTTTTTTAATAACTATTGTTTTGGGGTCTATGTTGTGTACATAATACGCTACAAGTAAACGAAAACATCTATACCACGGGAACCGTACATTTTTCCGGAATAAAAAATTACCTATTTGTTATTCTGATGTATGACCTATATTATTGTAACGTTTCATTAAAATCCAATCAGTAGTTTTTGTGTACTAAGCTGTATAAGGTACTTTAGTTTTTTGACTGTCCCACGGGAACCCCTTAATTTTCCGAGATGAAAAGTAGCCGATTTGTTATTGTCATGTATGAACTATATTATTGTAAAGTTTTATTAAAATCCAATCAGTAGTTTTTGTGTACTAAGCTGTATAATTTATTATAGTTTTTTAACTATCCCACGGGAATTATTTAATTTTCTGGGATAAAACGTATCTAAGATTTTGCCCGGGGATATAAGGCACCACCATGCAAAAAATCATTTAAATCGGTCCAATAGATTCGGAGATTAGCCCGTACAAACAGACAAACAGACAGAGAAACAAAAAATTTGAAAAAAATCTGGATTTGTTCTATTTGTCTTCTTACATACCCCTGACTCGGTTTTTATTGCTATGTACAGACATTCGACCTCTACTGTTATTATAGTATAGATGGTTATTTGGTTACTAATTTATTTATTAAATATTACTATATTTATTGATTATGCAGAGTTGATGGGTACTTAGGTAGTCACTATATAATAGTCCCGCCCAACGTGTGTTCACCTTATCGTGATGGGGGGGCTCATTAGCGTCCGGCAGGTCAGTCAAGAAACGCACAAGGAGGTGGCCCACTTCGGTGGGCGGTGTTCCATGCGGGTTGCTCCTGGTACTTCTCTGATAGCAGAGTGGACGGTTGGAGCAACCCCATCGTTATTGTGCGTAAGCGATCCTGCGACGCCCCATTAAGACGGGGAAGGTTTTGGTTGGTTTTAGTCGGTAGTACTGGCTTTTCTTTCCCGTGGGTCCCACATAACCACCCGCAAGTGGTAAGCGTCAATGCATTTTCCATCATAAAAAGTTACTATATAATGGTACAATAGTGACACATAAGCTTTTCAATATTATATTAGTAAAGTAATATGGTTAACGTTTCAATTGTATGTCGCAATATGTTGTTGGGTAATTTATTTAACAGTACACAGTACCTACAAGGTACTAGGTATTTGGCAACCTAAATAAATTAAGCGTGTGTTGTTGCAGGTGTACTGGGTGGGCCCGTTGGGCGGCGCGGCGCTAGCGGCGGGGCTGCACCGCGCGGTGCTGCGGCCCGCGCCCGCGCTTGCGCCACGCCACGAGGACCTGCCGCTGCACGACAAGCAGGACCACTAGGCCGTCTCTACACTGCACTACGCCACAGTCAACAGTGTGCCGATCCATACAATCCGCCGGCGAAGTCGGGGCGATCGACGATCGTGCGGAGTCCCTACTCAACACCCGCGCAACCCGCACCGGACTGTCATACTTATATGACAGTTGAGAGACTGCATTACGGTTGATAGGTATAACTGTACTTGCCACAGCCCACGACATGGCACTACAGTATTTTAACTTTCTAATCGATCGCCTTGAAAATTAGTAATATTGATAATCCTTGTATTTGAAGCTTTTCCATTAAAATCAATATGCGATCGCCGACTGTATGGATTTTTATACTGTGACTTGAAGTCGACGATCAAGCATGCTCTCTGTTACCTACATCAATGTTTATGATCATATTCTATATGAACATCATTTATAAGTCCAACGATTTATACTCAGATTCTTTCTATAATATTTATATAGAAAAATGTATAGAAAGATTTTCCAACAGACTAGCGTTAAGTCATTACAGTTTTCCCATAAGGTATTTTTTAAATGCTCGTTATTGATCAAAAGGCATATATGACCTTTCTTTCTCAGATACACAGGGTATAAATCCTTGAAGTTTAAAGGCTGAGGTAAATATATTGTTCTCGCTTGTCGTCTAATTGTAAATCCTAAGCTAAATTGAAGACTAACCATGACTTATTATGTTAAGAGTTAATATATATACAATATTTTGTATTTTTATTAACAGTGTTTCTATTTACCCAAACTTACTACAATCACAGATGACATAATAGGTACCTACTGTACTTATACAGTCTACAGATGCCGCACCCTGCACAAAGAAATTGGACAGCGTTAATTTGATCAATTCCAACGCATAAAAGACGTCGTTGATCCGCAAAATTTCGGCCTATTTTATTTTATATAAATATATTGTGTAAACTAAGGTTTTAAGTATTGCAAAATTCGCGAAATAATCCGAAATGATAGTTTTATTTAAAATGTCAAATATTCGCGTAAATCTAAGAAAGTAATATTGCAAAATTAAATCTTAATAGTTTTATTTCATTATGAAAAACTCATAAAAAGTGAATCCACTGTATAATAACCATCTGTAAATATGCACTATAACCCATTATCTGAAGAACAGTGCCATGTATTAAGAAATTAGGATTATAATTGGTCGAACTATTTGAGAGAGCGTATCATAAATAATTTTCTCAAATAATTTAGGAATTGAGCTGAATTTTGAAATAATAATAAATAAATAAGTTGGGACATTAACACTCAGCGCCATCTAGTTCCATGGTAAGCTACGAGGCTTGTGTTATGGATACCAGATAGTTGATATACTACACATATATAACTTTAAATACATACATAATATTATAAATATAAACATCCATGACTGGAGTACGAACATTCGTGCTCATCACACAAATGAATGCCCCCAGCGGGACTTGAACCCGTGACCGCTGGCACAGCAAGTAGGGTCACTACAAACTGAGCCAAACGTGTCGTCAATTATCAATAAAATAGTCAAATATTAATATCGTTAAATGGGACGGTATTTTGAAATATCGTGTTTATTACCACTTTTAAATATGGGAGTTATAAACTATCTTTTCCATTGTAAAGGCATTTCACCCAACTTCATAGAAGTTCTGAACAGAATTACTAATGGTTCAGCTAATTCATGGTAACATCTCTGTAAAAACAAGGGTGGAATGCCGTCAGGTCCTGGTCCCTTACTGACATCCAAGCGTTTTAAATACCCAGAAACTTGAGGGATTGTAAAAGTGATTGAATCGACACTTATCGATATTCGTTCTATTTGCACAACATTTATTTCGTTTGGCTGCTTAAAGGTTTTAGTGTAGTCAATTTAGTTACAGTAGAACCCATTTCACTAATGATAATAATATAATAATTCAAACACAATTACAAAATAATATCATACGTCAAGCTGCAAACGGTACAAGAGGTGAAATGCGGAAAGGGCAGGGAGATGACACGTAAGGGACGCGCCGCGGCTCAGACCGCGCTTCAAAAACCAGTAAAAACGGGTTTAAACGATGCGCGGGACGCGCCAGCCGCCACGCCACAAGCCGTACCTCTCCATACACTGTGTGTACACTCACACAAATGCAAAGCTGAGCTTATGGCGCGAGGACTGTACTTATCTAGTAAACACATTCAGCGCCATCTTTATGTTTATACCCATATTACAAACAATTTTCTCCATCAGTAAAATTTTAAATTAATTACGAAAATTATATAGAAGAACCTTTTATTATATTAACCTTAAGTTTAAGAGATTTATTTAGAGTATACATCTTTCAGAAATATTTTTTTATTACAAGAATCATTTTACTCCAATATATGGAGATTTCTGTGAACATTTATTTCATTTGAGACCCCATCTTCTATCGTTAGGGAAAAATATATCCAATTAATACTCATTAGACCTGTTCATACTAAACCTTAAACCCTTAAACCAGTACAAAAAATCACTTAATATTAAATACCACTTAATGACACAAAGAAAACTCATTATTATTATCAATAACGATCTGTCACTCAATCGTATTTGTGGTAACATCAAAACGCACTTATATCGACTTTTCTTGATGGATAACAAATGGTTGATGGTTGACAATAATTACATTTTTATATTGAGTACGAGTTTATATTTTCGTACACGATATTAAATAGTATGTACTCATGAAACCCGTTTCATTGCCAACTGCCAGAGCTTAATTTCATAGCGAGAAGTGCGAGGTACCAGGGCTTTATAATTATTGTTTACTTTTAAAAGGTAAACAAATGAACACTGAATACATTTTAAAGTTTATAATCGGTAGTCCACTAAAATTATTTTGTATTATAAAGTTATGTACCTAATACTTTTTAATTAAAAAATTAGGTATGAAAGCTATTATTTTCAGAAATATTAAAATATTAATTACAAAAAACAAACCTATCCCACGGGAACCAAACATTTTTTGGAAATAAAAAGTAGCCTATGTGTTAATCCAGACTCTGTGCGAAATTTCATCCAGATCGGTTCAGCCATTCTGGTGTGAAAGAGTAACAAACAACCATACTCACAAACCTTCAAATTTATAATGTTTATACAGATCAGTAAGTTATTCTTCCCTTTATGAACTAAAAGTAGATTAGTTATGAAAACAACGAAATTATTTTACGTTATCATTATTTATTAGAAAATAAATACAACTAAGGACACATTTTTACATTCCTATACGATAAACTCATGACAACACTCGCGCGGCCGCGGCGCCGCCTCATAAGCGTTTCAGGATGCGGCGCTTGTCGCGCGCGGGCGGCGCCCCGCCGCGGCGCTCACGCTTTGCGCGCGGGCCCTCGCCGCCCTCGCCACCCCCGGGGACGGGCGCGCGGGCGGCGCCGGGGGCAGCTGCGCCTGCGGCGGCGGGGGCGGGCGCGCCTGCAACGGTGGAAGCGGGCGCGGCCACCGCGTGTATGTCGGTGTAGAGCTTGGCGCGCGCGAAGTAGTCGTCGTAGCGGTCGCGCAGCAGCGCCGCGGCCTCCGCGTTGAGCGCGGAGTCGGCGTTGGGCGCGATGAGCAGGCACTTGACGGCGAGCAGCGCGTGCTCGAGGCCGAGCTCGGCGCGCCAGTCGCGCTTCAGCGTGTTGACGCACACCTCGCCCGCCGCCGACACGTTGGGGTGGAAGATCTTGGTGAGGAAGAAGGCGCGCGGCGGCGCCAGCGGGAACTCCCGCCCCAGCGCCAGCCGCACGCGGAACACGCCACCGGCGTACGGCGTCCCCGCTGGAGACACAATACACACAAACAATTTTAGGATATTATTATTCCATTCATCAGTACTATGTTTTGTACCTATGTTTTGTACCTATGTTTTGTATGTGTGTTTGTATGTGTGTTTCTTCATAGAGAGACTGACTCTTTAAATTATATTGATGACCCAAAAATATTTGTTTTAAATAAACACATTTTGTGATTAAGACCAATTAGCAAAATTATTGTTATTAAGTTAACCTATACTGAATAGGTACATGACATTATATAGGTATACCCATTACATAATAAGCACCTGGGCCACCGAGCTTCGCTCGGTGTTTTTGGTCAAATGTACAATTTCTTTAAAAAAAAACTAAAAACTTGAATAAATTCAAAAAAAAAACAAATAAAAATTATACCTTTGTATCCGACCGGGATTCGAACCCAGACACATATTCAATCTTACGCCTTGGCCGCTTGAACATGATGCTTATATCCATGCGTACGAAATTATCGAACATAATATTTTGCGTGGAATAATGCAAAAGAAAACCGCATGAAAATTCGAAAAGACGCGTTTTCCCAGGCATAAAATTAATCTAGATTGATGTATCGCCCCCGAAACCCTTTGTACACTAAATTTCATGAAAATTGTTGGAGCCCTTTCCGAGATTCAGATTATATATGGATATATATATATATATATATATCCATATATATATAATTCGTGGGATTATAATATTATATATATATATATATATATATATATATATATATATATATATATATATATATATATAATATACAAGAATTGCTCGTTTAAATATTAGATATAATAAATTTAAGTAAAACTACACTGCCTGATTTTATTGTACATCTTTAACCTAATAAATATCTTGAATATAAACATCACTTCACACTATACTAAAGAAGGACTTAATGACTAACTTCATATTGTAGTCTAATACCGACTACCTTCATAATATAGTTTAAATCTGTCGCATCATAAAATGAACAAAACTAGTAGCATAGTATTTATTTAAACAGATCAAATTGTAATATCCACAAAATAACTAATATTTTTGTAAATAAAGTTAGTAAACCTGGAGTCAGTAATTTTAATTCTAATGTATAGTCACTTTTCTGATTTATAATATCAGAGCCATGGGGTTAATCAATTGTTGATAGTATACTAGTTAACTTATTTTAGTTTACTAACATTTACAAAATACTGTTAAATATAGATGATGTATGCAAATATGTTTATATTGCATTTACTACAGAATAAGAAGTGAGCAGACTAGCTAAAATATATTTTTTGGTTGTAATATATGCGTCTTGAACAAGTAAACATTAAACTAAAAAAATAACAAAGCTACATATGTCTGTATTTACCTGGGCCTTCAATAAGCGCTACAACATCAGTGAGGTCATCTTCTCGAAGCACTAACTTAATACCAGAGGGAGGGTTGGCTACCAACCGCCGTAGTTCTCGCGCCACACCGCGCAGAACTTGAGGGCATACGTTTTCTACATTCGACATTTTGAACTCTCTAACATAAATTTTTCTTTACGGTGAGCAATGCTCACAACTTTATAGTTTTACACCATTACAGTTTGGGTAAATATCTTCCTGTAAAATTCTTACTTATTTTATGGTTCACTTTCGTAGACGCAGAAAACACACCCTATGTTTACAAATAAAGCTAAATAATATAATAAAGAAATAAAAAGCCAGAATATTAGATAGTTCGTTAGTCGTTACCGAAAAATTAAAAAAATAGTATTTGATAGGAATCAGCCCCGGCCGAGCTCCATACAGGTGCATATTCATAAAACCGCAGGCGAATAAGACGAAGTGGGGGCCGGGGGGGTCAAGATAGTCGAAGAAAGATTTTTCCCTATTTAGCATTACAAATTAAAAAATAGCTACATGGGATATGTTATTTAATATTTTATTATATTATAAAATATACTTAAGTTAAATATGCTAAAAATGTTTTTTTTTTATAAATCATATGTGCTATATATTGATTTATATAATAATATTCTAAATGATTTTAACCATTATCGAATATTTTATATTTTAATTATATTTCATATCAAACATAAAATATCTATTAACATAAGTTTTTGTTATAAAAATTAATTTATATTTTAGAGCTGGGTCATGATATTTGCCTTAATATGGGGACAGTTAAGGCATAAGTGGCAAGTCAAAATATGCTGTCACTTTCACGGCTATTGTATTTCTTTTGAGTCGCCACGCATCTCTTTCTAAGGGTATGACGTCATATGCAAATCTGGGAGAATTTAGTTCGTAGTGATGTAAAAAATCGGTATTCATAACGATTACGATTAAGTAGGGATGTATTTTATCGTAATCTTATCGGTATTCAACAACTGTTATCGGTTTTATAGTAAGGTTTTCATTTTTATGATATTAATTATAATTAGAAATAAAATACAAAGATAGGTTTCTAGTTTTTTTATTTTACTATGTTAATGCTACCACTAGTTCGGAAAAAATGCCTCAGACCTGAGAAGAACTAGCAAGGACGGACGTCAGCGGGATAATCTTTTTTTTAAAACATTGTTTTATAATACATTGTTTGTTATTACAATAAAAGGACATTTTTAAAGAATTTTATCAATTGAATACAAAATACAAAAGTATAAATTAGTACAACAATTTGGTATAGACAAAAATTAACGACCTCAAAAAAATTGTGGTTGCGAAACAAATTTCTCATTTCTTTAACAACCGTGAATGAAAATATTTTATAATACATATTACAATGCAATAAAATTAGAAGTAACATAGAACAATACTTTTTGTTAATAACGAGTTCATATTAAGCAAGTAGTCGTTTTAATTATAGGTATAAATTAAAATCTAGCTTTTGCGTTTGCTTGAAGTTTTAGCTCTAAAACCACCTTTCATCTTTAGTTTATAAAATGCAAAGATTCGAGATTACCGCGTTTGAACAAACATTTTAGATTTATACAAATAAAAAAAAATACAAATTTCAGTAAAAAATGAATAATAAAATTTTCTTAAAGCCTTTAGAAATTTAAAATCAAAATGTACATAGTAATAGAAAAATTTGGTGTGAAAAGAAATAAAAGCTAAAAATACTCTAAAATAAAAATTCTAAATACATAGTTCTATGAAATGTAACAATTATAATTAATATATTAAAATTATATACTGCTTTAGTATATTTTAAGAAATTATAATATTATTTCGCTGAAATCAAATGAAATATTCATATATAATTTTTTTACTTAATAGAAACATAATGAAAATAGAAAATTCTAAGTGATTATCTTTTAATTAACCAAGAAATGAAACAAACAATGGTAATAAATAAGTTAATTAATGAACTAAATAATGAAAAAATATTGGAAAATCATTCACTACTCTGAAGACGAGTTCAACCATAGATAGGCCCTTTTGAAACTTTTGTATTAAGCAAATTTTCTATTTCCAGACCCTTTTTTCTCGAATCCACTTTATGCATTCTTCAATTAAAATTTATACACCATTGTCTAACTTTTATACATATCATAAATAATGAGAATGCTCTTTAAAATATTTCTTTATGATCTACACAAGTGTACCAAGAGGTATCAAGTTTTTCAAATACTTTTATTAAATCGGGAAATATGTGAACTTTACAAATCTTTGGTACTTGTCTTTCAATTATGTAAATTGCATACCATACTAGAGATGACAGATTCTTAGAAGGATAATGTATTTTATTATTAATGAATAAAATAATCTCAGTTGTGAATAAGCCATTCTCAATATTTACATTTAATATATTACAATAATTTTGTTCTTCCTAGAAACTAAAAGCCTTTATCAGGAGACTTATAGATGCTGAAACACTTCGACTAAACACCTGAGCAGCATATACTTGACCTGTAAATATGTTATTATAATAAATTAATGTAATACAACAAATGCAATAGTCAATTAATTTATAAGTGTAGTATAATTACTAGTAACTATTATAGATGAATAGTAGCTTATGTACATATAGTAGTTTATTATTATTAGGGTCTAGGTAGGTAAGCCAATTAGGCCCTTAACATTATACAATATATAGGCTATAGAGTTGATAAATTGTTTTTAATGGACTATTACTGGATTAGAATAGTATAATAATATCAATAACTTCAAGAAGTTTTTTTCTTAAAAACAATTTTATGTTAAAGATAAGATAATATCCAAGATCTAAAGTAATATATACCTTAATTTATTAAACTTAACAATATAGTTACTTTCATCATAACAAAAGAGTTTGGATAAACATACTTGTCAGTAAGTTTTGTTAGCCTTGCAGCACCTTTATGGTCATCTACTTTATACAACATATGAACATAATCCCATTGAGCACGCTGACTGCCAAGGAGCAAATTCTTTTTCTTAAAATTATTACTGAAACATCATACTTATGATAGATTTTGTTCCGATTAACTTCATAAAGATAGCACTTGATGCATTATTGACACAACGAAGTATATTTACCTTAGTATCAGAAATTAATGAATTTATTGCAGCTACATTGGCAGAAACCTGGTCAGATAGAGTTACTCTAGAATAAACACTGTTTATAAGAATTTCTATAAGTATACGTTATAAAATCGAAGTGTATCTTTATAAGGCATTCTATGGCATAAAAACCTTCTTTTCCTCTCTGACAATTTGGAATATTACAATGCTTTCCCATGTTTACACAACATTAATAAAAAAACCAAACAAAGGAAGAGAAACACTAATGAAGAAATCACAAATTTTGTATCCAAGCACAAGTCTTAACTATATCACTGATCTACTTAATCAACACTTATCCACATTCCTCAATACTAATCTAAATTGGATCAAATGTAAATTTAAAGTGTAAAATAATATAAAAAACGGCAATCCCTCACATCCTAGTACCCAGTTTATATATGTAGCAATATACTCTATGGTACCCAGGGATGAGTAATAACAACGGTTAAAACTTGAAAATTTCAAAAATGACAAAATGTTGCAGTGACGTCACAGCAGTGACGTAGTAACTGCGACAGAAAAAAGTTGTTGTCCCACTCGTTGTCGCCAAATGTAGAGATAGCATGCTAATTACCAAGCAAATGAAAGGGATAGATAGATTCACCAAGAGCTTGTATGAAACAAATTCATCTATTTTATTTGTCATCCATGATAGGAATAAAGAATTTGGCAGTTATATACAGATTATACAAATGCATCGGGCATAAAAATTTAAATAGTAAATCACAGATAAAAATATTGTATAAAATCAAAAATTATATAATTTTAGTACCACTTCAACTAAACTTTAATTTTGCAATGAGCTAATAATGCTATTCAAGGAAAATCTATCTGATTGTAAATGAGGAAGAATTTTGCCTTTTTCTTCCGCCGGATGTACTACGGCTATTATGGCCCTCAGTCTTAGAGTATACTCGTACGTATACTCTAATACAGCCATATCCAACCTTTTTTTTATAGGCGCCACAAACACGTTTCAGTCATGGTGTCGAGGGCCGCAAGCAAAAATTATTTAGGTCTTAATGAAAACGTAATTCCAAGTTAACGATGTAGTCACTTTTTTAACAAAGATATGTTATAATGCGATTTTTGATGCTGCCGCAGGTTGACTATAGCTGCTCTAAGCCCTCAGTATATTGTTAAGTCTAAAGAGTAAAACTCTAAGCGTGGATGGTTTTATTAATTAAAATAATAAATTGTGCAGTGCCAGGATGCAAGGAAAATGGATATCATTTGTTCCAAAAATACAAAATCTGAAGAATTTATTGTGAGTCAAAGCAATAAGACGACCAAAAATTGGCAAAATCACAATCTTTATATTTAAGGCTATGTGGACATCATTTTAAAGAAAGTGATTTTAACTGTCTATAGGTGAATATTTTTTTGTACTTGTTTACATATTAATTCTTTTAAATCTCAGAAATGGCTTAGCCGATTTGGTTGCGGTTTTCACTATTGTAATAATTGTGGGTAAAAACTTCATTTAACAATCTAGAAACACCTAGGGACGAACCCGACGTGTGTGGGTGAGCCGCTAGTACCGGAATAAATTTATCTTGAATATAAACAATAGACATCACTTCACAATATATTTAAGGGAGATTTAATGACTAACTTATTGTCGTCTAATAATGACTAACTTCATATTGTAGTCTAAATTTCTCGCATTAATAAATATCATTTTTTGCCGTTTAAGCACCTAAAGAAGTTTTATCATCAAAAATGAATTGACTGGCCAAATGGAAGCGCCAACTACCACAGATTAAGGCTCTAGCCTTGAGCGTTACGGAGCGTTGAGCCCATAAACCTAGAGAATGGACTGAGCGTGAGCAATATTCTCACGAAATTGACCACTCTCTAGAAAGAGAGAAAGCGAACGTGCGACCAATACCTGTTTTTTATTCCAATTTAAATTTATAAATGAAATTTTATAATATATAGTGGAATGTAAAATTGTTATAAAAATCTATCTGCATTAATTAATCATATTTCAATTAATATAGAAGACTTCTCGCCACCAATTAGTTTTGTCACTGTCGCTTTTCCGCCATTTTCAGCTCACTGCTGGCAAAGAAACACTGACACTTTATGAGTCTGTATAATCTATATGCTGTGCTGTCTACAAATGTCTATGGTTGAGCCGCTTTTCAGTTTTCGTTTAATTGTCATCAATGCGCTATATTCTGTCACCTGTGTGATGTGTCTTGTGAATACAAATGTCAAATAACAAAATACAGTTAGTCAAGGGTAATTGCCTGATATTTCTTATGTAAATTAGAATGGATAAAAGCTTAATATTTTAATTTCGTTCCAGCAATAAATCTGTGCTCAACATGTTTACTCGTCGTACTAGTTCAGATGAATCTGAAATATCAGAATCTCTTGTTAATATGAAATCGGCGTTTCGTGTGAGTGTATGCCTGCAGCGGTATTTTAAAGATGTTCGGAGCAGGTGCTACTTATTAGTAACTCGTAATCGTCCAGTTCGCTGGTTAGAAAAACGAATACAAAAAGTATTTACTTTACCTGGGAATTTTTGTCTCATTACGAACGGACACATGCTACCATCATCTGAGCCCTTGGCTCTGCTGAATCCTGACGATTTCATTGAGTGAGTAAAAAATCTTTTGGGAAATTTCTTATTTGTTAGAGTTATTAAAAATGAAAATGTTTATTTAAAAGCTAATTTTTAATTAAGTTTATACATAAGTACTACCTTATCAAGTCTGGAGCCCTTAGTAATTATTGTAAATTAATATTATACTTAGTCATATTAATTACTTCATAATAACTTTATTAAATTGTAGATTATTTTATAGATTTGCAATATATAATATATTCCATAAATAAACATTTGTAGTGTTCATTTTCTATATAAATATGTCATAATTTCAAATTCACTGCTGAACCTGAACAAATGATTGGTCTCTCAGCTCTATATAGATTTCAATGAAAAAACCTAAATATTACTACACAAAATATTTACCTACTTTCTAATCTTACTTGTTAAATAGTACAACAAAATTTTACTTTCAAACAAGTCTTAGTAACTCTAGGGAAAGTATTGGTAAATTTTAATAAAATGAAATATAAGTATTAAGTAATGTGCTAAAGTTGTAATATGAATTATGTTGTGTAAGAAGTTTATTATAATTTAGTAGTTAGTATCCATACTTCCATACTAATAGTATAATTGTGAAAGTGTGTTTGTTTATTTGTCCTTCTTTCACGTGACGAAATGGAGTGAAGGATTGGTGTGATTTTTTGTATGTAGATAGTTAGAGGGCTGGAAAATGACATAGGCTACCATTTTACCATGGGAGATTATCTATTTTCCATGGGAAAACATGTTATAATACGATTCAAAAAAATATTTACAATCAGAATTACTTGGTATTAATGCTCTTCAATAAAATTAAATAAATATGTGTTTTAGCATTTTTCCAAATTCATCCAATAAGGGGGTAAAATAGGGGATGAAAGTTTGTATGAAACTATCTTTTTTGAGATTTTTTGTAGTTTTAGCATGAGCGAAGCCACAGGTTCTGTTAGTAATTTTATAATTTAGACATTGGAATAGACTTGATTAAAAACATACACATAACTTCCTCATTTCAATTACTTAAATAAAATTAATTTGCTGATTTTGACATTCTCACTTATAAAATATTTATGTTATTTATCACACATTTTTAATTGTTTGCAGAGTCATACCATTACCTGAAGTCAACGAAAGTGCACACAATAGAGATTCAGAAAAAAATAAATACAATGTGGATCCCCACAGTAAATCTTATAGTCAATATAAAACAGATCTATCGGGTAAATGGAATACATGTTCAGAGAATTTTACATCTGACAATAAACTTCAAAATATTGAAGCTAATGGTGAACATACTTTAAAAGCTATCAGTGAAGATCACATAGATAGTGTAGAAACATCAAAAGCCATCGCAGGAAAAAACACAACAGTTAATGTCACTGGTGCAGAAAGTTTGAACAACATTGAGGAAGCTGATGATAGTACTCAATCCTTGTGGAACTTGAAACGCAAGGCCCTTGCAATATTAGACTCTAAAATAAGTACAGACAAAGATGAAAGAGAGACGGAAGAAGGTTCATGCGACCCTCCGCGCCGCACTCGCCGCCGCGTGCGTCACCGCCGCCGACGCGCTGCTGAGCCAGAACAGGATTCCACAGAACATATGGAATACGAGTCTTTTTCTTTACAGGAACAACAAGTTCTGCCGATAAACACGCCAATCTCGGTGCCTGGTTTAGTAGAGTCTTTATCTGCAGTAGATGCAAAACCTAGATTACAGGAACCTATTTTACCAAAAGTGTCTGGATCGAGCAAGGAACCAGAACGGGATGCAGTTGTATCCCAGTTGCTTCTCCAAGAAGTGACACGTAATGAAACAACACATTCACGTAAGCCTCGTGTCGTGCACTCTTTGAATGAGTGAAACAGAATGATTTTGACTTCTATAATATTAATAAAATAAATTTTAATTTAAATTTTCTATATTATTTTGTGAAAAATGTAAGAATAAAATATTATTTGATATTCAAAAAAATGTTGGGACTTATTAATAAAGATAAATTGAAAAATAAAGTATTGTTTTGACGATGATGATGATGATGATGATGATGATTTGACTAGACAACTGCGCGGGAGATATTATAGTGCACAAGTGTATCACTAGTGCACTTTATTGCTGTCACTCATACTCCAGTGGGACGACAGTTTTGACTATATTGACCCTATTATTGTGAGAGGCAGATGGAAGGACCCACACACCCCCGGTTAGGTAACTTGGGTTCTTTGGCCGATACTCGTCACCGGACTGTCATGCGTCATTCAACTGTTACACAGTTTAGTACATTTGTCAAAATTCGGGAGCACAATGTGTCTGGTGTCAGTAGTAGAAGGGCCCCCTTCTTCTGTATTTAGATTTTTGGTTCCCGACATTTCGAATACTTTACAGCAATCATAGTCACGGGAGAGACTAAGCTTTTAGACGTCTCAAAGGCATTAAGGTATAGGCACCTAATTCCGCGGTATTTTCACCATAACTTAAAACAACTTAAAAAAATAAGTATTTGCTATACCTTTCTGTACAATTGGCTATTTTATCGGAAGTATTATTAATCTTACACTTGAAATATACTCAGTTTGACAATTGAAAAATTATATAACATCTTAAATTATGTAAAATATGAAGAAGTCCGAGGCACCTTATTTCGATGTAAAAATCCTAATTCCAATGCATTTGTTTCCTAATTCCGAGTGTACAAAATACAAAAGGAAAGGGGGTCGGGAGACTGATACATGATGTTTAAAAATGGAGTCTATTTATCTTTGATTTTTAAATCTATTTTGATCATTAATAAAATGACACCACAATATATAATTTACTTAGATAATAAATAACATATACATGGAAAATAAAATATAGGTAATTAATCTAGCTAACAGATTTCTTTTTCATTAATTTACAATAAGTTTATATATTTAATTGTGAGTGACACAAAATTGTTGTAGGGTTGTGGTATTTTACCTCTTGCGAGGTGGAGGTTGTGAGGTGGTTTGCCTCTGGGAGATTTTGGTGGAGTGGTGGGTTTAATGGGTGTAGAAGGTCTAGGCGGTGTGAAGGATCTTAGGATAGGAGGTACTGGTACTGCATCCTTGCTGCTGTGTTCCAGTCTTCATCGTCTGTTGAAATATATATATACCATAAGTTATACATATACTACAAAATTACCTACATATAAACTAACTGGTTTTTATAGTTTAAAATTTTGTTTAAGTATAAGACTAATTCAAATATTAATTTTTTAAATATATTTTTGTGCAATGTGAAAATTACAAAATACTTTAAATGTAAACATGAGTAGTCTAACACTTACCAAAAATAGTTGTTGATGTAGTAACAGGCTCTTTGGGTTCATCAAAGGACACTATTTGAATCACTTCCACAGTGTCTTCTGCCTGAAAAAAAATTGAATAGTTTTACATTTAGGTTTTGTATATTATTATTATATAGGTAGATAATAATTTGTCACAAGAAAAGCTTCTAGTTTTACTTATATATCTTATTGAAGTATTTATTTTCAGTACTGTGAGAATGAAAGTGTGTATGTAATTATGTTATAAATGATATATGTAGTATTTGAATTAATGAATATGGTAAACAAGTAAACAAAGCAACGGTCACAACCTGAATACAAAACCAAATTTAGTTCATATTAGCTGTCATAAAAAATCACAAACCATTCCAAAACCAATTTCAGCGATGGGCATTCCAGTTGCTGCCTGGACACCCATAATAGTAAGAATCCGATTCTCAAAATCGGTTAGGCACATTTTAAGAGCAGCCCCACCACCTGTACCACGCACCGATCTATGAATTTTTGCCCACTTCCTTTTGGGATTGTTTTTTAAATCACTCCATACCTTAGGCAATGCAAATAAAATTTTTATGAACAAAAAAATGTGAATAACCATGCCACGGTATGGTAATGCATACAGTATTCCAACTCGGGCCTGTCCTTGAAATAATGAGGATCCGTAACGTTTTTAGTTGAGAATGCAGATTTATAGATCTAAGAAATCCTTAAAATACAGTGCAAAAATATTTGTTCTACGACAAAAATTGACGAAGTTATGAAGAAATTGCTAGCGAAGTTCACCGCCATGGCCGCCGCGATAGCTGTGACGTCATAGTGACGGTCGCCGCCAGTAAGCCGCTGGCGGCAATAAGGCGCGCAATGTTTTAATGACTTTGAAACAAATTAAGTGTCCGATTTGTGTCTAATTCACCTTTTTAATTATGTACAAATATTGTATAGTGCCGAAATGTATGAACACTACTTTTAAAACGCCAGAACAACTAATTTTTTACGTACCGAAGGACCCAAAACTTCGTAAAAAATGGTTTTCCGTTGTAAAAAGAGATGATAAAACTCCACCCTCTGCTCAGGCTACAAGACATTGCTGTAAGATCATTTTGATGTACGTAACTACGGTAAACATCTCATTTCTGAGAAAAATACAAAACTGCAATGTAAGAGTATACTAATATGTAAAACTAACGTAAGTTTCTACTTTCTATATCTTCTTTTAACTGAAATATAAAATATATTTATATTCGTATGTATATTTTAATTTATTTGCTTCTAACAATAAGGCAAGCTGAGGCAGATACATAAATACACAGCTATTCAAAAATATTATCATTCACTATTTGCTTTTTACCCGAGTATGTCCCTATGTCATTGACCTTGGAATAATACATAGAAATGGGAACGGTCGAATAGGTAGGTATGTAGGTTTATCCACAAAACTAATTCAAAAAAGTGGTTAGGTTTTTAATAAATAAGCAGGTTTAAAAATAAGAGAATTTATAGGTACACTTTAGAGTACGTAATAGTATCAACTTATTTATTACTAGCATTGCCCGCGGCTCCGCCCGCGTTCAGATGACCAAAAACCAAATAAAATAGCGCTATTTATATATTTTTTTCAAGATTAGCTATTTTGAATAGTGTTTGCCTTATTTAATACGTAAGTTACCTTGCTAAAATATATATAGTATAATCGTGGTTTTATTCTAACTAGTTTTTGTATTTTTTCTCAGAAATGAGATATTTTCCCGCTGTAAAAAGTATCCTATATGTTGACCCGGATAACCAGCTACGACCATACCAAACATCAAAATCCCTCCAGTAGTTTTTCTGTGATCCGGTAACAGACAGACAGACAGACAAAAATTCTAAAAACTATAGATTCAGCCTCTGCATCGATAATAATGTCTATTTCAATAAGATTTTCCAAAAAATATTTAATGTACAGATTCGACTTAGTTAGAATTTTATTATATGTATAGATTTAGGTACTTTCTAAATATATTTAAATAACACAAACACACTTGAAAAAACACTAAATAAGTAATTACTAAATATATTAACCAACCGCGTTGCGCGCTGCTCCGTCGAATTGTGACGTAAGAGGCCCGGGCGGTGGCTCGGCTACGTTCGGACCGTCACAGTGACGTCACACGCACCCGCGTACATGGATTTTGCCGGCAGGAACGGCGTAATGTTTATTACTTAATATCTTTGTAAGTTATGGTCCGATTTAGATAATTCAAAAAGATATATCATTCTTATGTCTTATAAAATAAACGTGGATACTAGTTCTATGGAAAGGATACCTTTTACGACAGGCAAATTATTCATTCCCACGGGAAAACACAATAACGGGTTCTATCGAATTGTCTTTAGAAATTTATATGGCTAACGCTGGCTCAACCTTAAGAGATAGATCAAAACATTGTGCAGAAAAATTGTAAGTCTTAAAAAGGTCGATAGAAAAGTTCTCAATAGTATATGTCTATCTCCTAAGGTATACTCGCTATAACTATTTTCATTATTATATATTACTGTTTTATTATCCGTTATTTATTCTATCTATAAATATAATATAACTGTAGAGGTCGAATTGTCTGTACATAGAAAAAAATGCTAAAAACCGAGTCAGTTATCTTCTTACATCCCGTAAGAAGTAAAATAGAACAAATCCAGATGTTTTTCAATTTTTTTGTTTCTCTGTCTGTTTGTCTGTTTGTACGGGCTAATCTCCGAAACTATTAGACCGATTTAAATGAAATTTTGCATGCTCGTACCTTATATCCCCGGTCAACATGTAAGATACTTTTCATCTCGGAAAATTAAAGAGTTCCCGTGGGATAGTTAAAAAACTATAGTAACTTATACAGCTTAGTACACAACAACTTATGCACCTAATTTAGTAAAATTTGGCATGCTGATACCTTATATTGCCGGTCAAACAACAGGTTATTTTTCATCCCGGAAAAATTACCGGTTTCCATGGGATAAATCTGTTTTTGTTTGTTTGTAACGTATTATGTATGTACACAATATAGACGCTAAAACAATAGTTATTAAAAAAATTGTGTTTGTTTGCGTGTATGTCTATTTGCCAGTTTGTATGTTTGTACGGGATAATCTCCGAAACTGATGGACCGATTTAAATCAAATTTTGCATGGTGATGTGTTATATTCCCGGTCAACATCTTAGATACTTTTCATCACAGAAAATTAAAGAGTTCCCGTGGGATAGTTAAAAAACTATAGTATCTTATACAGCTTAGTACACAACAATTTTAACTAATTTAGTAAAATTTAACATTCTGACACTTTATATTGCCAGTCAAACAACAGGTTACTTTTCATCCCGGAAAAATGAACGGTTCCCGTGGGAACTAATAGATCTCTATTAGTGTTTTTCTAGAGGCGAACCCGAGCAAAGCGAGGGTGAGCCGCTAGTTTAAGAATAAATAAAATTATAAAAAGCTTTTGTTTTTAATTAGTGTGGACTTACTTTTCCATGACTTCCACCATCATTAAAAACTGTATGTGGCTAGTTCTTGACGACATT